TGGCCACACAGCGGGCAGCTGGCAGGGAGGCCGGGCCAGCACGCCTGGGGGGGCAGAGTCTGCCCACAGCACAGCCTCCCGGGGGCGGCCGTGGCCTTTGGGACCTGCGTGTGCACACATTGGGTGTGAGTGTGAGAGCGTTGTGAGTGTGATGGTGTGAGTGTGAGTGAGTGTGTGAGTGTGATAGTGTGAGAGTGTGAGTGAGTGTGATGGTGTGAGTGTGTGAGTGTGATAGTGTGAGAGTGTGAGTGAGTGTGTGAGTGTTATGAGTGTGATGGTGTGAGACTGTGTGTGTGAGAGCATTGTGAGTGTGATAGTGTCAGTGTGTGAGTGAGTGTATGAGTGAGTGTGTGAGTGTTGTGAATGTGATGGTGTGAGAGTGTGAGTGTGTGAGAGTGTATTATGGTGTGAGTGTGAGAGTGTGAGTGTGAGTGCATTGTGAGTGTGATGGTATGAGAATGTGAGTGAGTGTGAGTGTGTGAGAGCATTGTGAGTTGTGATGGTGTGAGAGTGTGAGTGAGTGTGTTATGGTGTGTGAGTGCGTGTGTGAGAGCATGATGAGCATGGTGGGTTGAGAGAGATTGTAAGTGTGAGAGTGTGAGATTGTGAGTGTGATGGTGTGTGTGTGATGGTGTGAGAGTGAGCGTGTGAGTGTGTGTGAGTGTGTGAGAGCATTGTGAGTGTGATGGTATGAGAGTGTGAGTGTGGAGCATTGTGGGTATGAGAGTGAGCATGTGAGTGTGTGAGAGCATTGTGAGTGTGAGAGCGTTGTGAGTGTGAGAGTGAGATTGTGAGTGAGTGTGATGGTATGTGTGTGATGGTATGAGAGTGAGCATGTGAGTGTGTGAGAGCATTGTGAGTGTGAGAGCGTTGTGAGTGTGAGAGTGAGATTGTGAGTGAGTGTGATGGTATGTGTGTGATGGTATGAGAGTGAACATGTGAGTGTGTGAGAACATTGTGAGTGTGATGGTATGAGAGTGTGAGTGTGAGTGTGTGTCTGAGTGAGCCATGCGCCGAGGGTTCGGACGAGGTGTGGGGGCCCCTGGCTGCCAGCCGGGCGCTGTGCTTGGGGCCTCCAGGCGGGGGCTTTCCTTGTGGCCTGGTTAGCACCCTCCCTCTGACGTGGCTGCTCACCGCCTTCATAGAAGATTTTTGTTTTGATTCTTTTATGGAGAAGGATTCCGGGAAGTGGAAGGGGAAGGAGAAACCGAAAGGCAAGCCCAAACGAGCGGGTGTGAGGCGCCAGGTCCCCCTGCAGCTGCCAGCCCTCCGCCCCTGTGCCCTGTGCCAGGCTGGGGGAGTGGCTGCTCCAGGCGGCGTGAGCGCCCCACCATTTACTGGCTGTGGGTCTTCTCTGACCCTTGGAGTCTTCATCAGTGACGTGGGGTGACGCTGGTTCATACCTCAGAGGAAGTTGGGATGGTGACATGAGGTGCCCATGGCGAGGGCCCCGGCCCCCTGGTGGGTCCCGAGCCTCTCCTGGCCTCAGTGTCCTGGTCTGTAAAGTGGGAGTAAGGCGCCGAGCCTGGGGTGTCATGAGCTGTCAGGCTGGCCTTGGTGCTGCGCGTTGCAGGGCTGGGGTGGTGGTGAGGGTTTGGCAAGGCCCACACTCCTGCCCAGGGCACAGGGCCACGCACGGAGGCTCCTGCCAGCCCGGGCGGCTGTGGTGTAGCCGTGCGAGCCAGTGAGCCAGTGGGCATGAGCAAGCGTGAGTGTGTAAGAATGCATGTGAGTGTGCATGCACGTTTGAATGAGGTGCACCTATGTATGTGTGTGTATGGACCAGTACGTGAACATGTGTGAGTGCGTGTTATGTGTGCATGTATATGTGTGAGTGGGTGTTATTGAGAATGCGTGTGCGCCCTGGTGTGAGCGTGAATGTATAAGTGCACGTGTGCGATGAGGAAGTGTGCGTGGGTGTGAGTGTGTGAATGAGTGTGTTGGGGACCTGTGGCTCCCACACACTGGCCAGCCCGTCACCACTGACAGGAACTCCCTGACACTGTGGTCACACGGCGTCAGTCCCTCAGCATGTTGGGGGCATGTCTGCAGGTCCTGCAGGAGCCCAGCCCTCCCGGGACCCCACTTCACTCTCATGCACGGCTCACACCGTGCACACGCGCACACACAGGACCTCCTGTGGAGCGCACTGTCCGTGGCACGCGGCCATGTGGACCGCAGCGCCCAGCTCCCAGGCGGCCTGCGCACAGCCCCCACCAGCCTGACTTCCTGGAACTCGCTGTGGCTGTGATGGAGAGCTCCACCGCCTGCTGTCCCCACCCCTGCACCTCGGCCTCGGGTCCCCGAGACCAATCTCAGCTTTGAGGGGGGCGTGAGCCCAGGAGCAGGGCCCGAGAGTGCCCGGTGCCAGGTGCCTCTCCCAGGGCGCACACCTG